CTTGACATGACAGTCTATGTCGATGGGATGGGTTGTAAATGCTGCGAGAGCGTCTTCCTTTCTTGAACGGAGCATAAGTATAGGCCATCAGGCCTCAAATCTTGAAAGTGGCGCAAGATCAGCGGATCCACTGGGTTGATTGGGCGTGCCAGCGAAACAGAATGTTCGCGGCGCTATAGCCAAGTGGTTACGGCGACAGATTCGAATCGCGTCGAGACGATCTGTTCCTCTTTGAGGGCGCAGGTTCAAATCCTGCTGGCGTCGGTGCAATTGCGCATTTTGCTTTTTTGAGCGGCAGCGCGCCGTCACGTGAAGCAATCACGTGCCGGTATGGAAACCTTAGGGTGGCGCAGTAAACCTCCGGGGGGGGGGGGGGGTGGTGGTGTTAGTAACGGTATTGATACCGACGCGCCTGGTTTTGAAACCGTTACTAACGGTTTCGATACCGGCACGTGTTATTGACCACATGATGTGGCGCAGTGGCGCCAGGCGCGCCGCCCTGACCCCGCCACTCTCTGCTCAGTTAGACTCGATACCAGTCACTTCGCCAGTTCGGTCCGATCAGACCCCTGGCGAAGCCGGGTACTCGATCGACTGTCATCGAGTATCTTACTGGCAGGCGTCTGGCCTCGAGACTACGATCGACTGTCATCGAGTATCTTACTGGCAGGCGTCTGGCCTCGAGACTACTGCTCAGTGCTGGTCTGAGCTTGAGCGCATACTCCCTAGGCCTTCAATACCGCGCAGTAAATCCGCCGAGGTGTCTCGAAACCCAGGGCCACCCTACCATGCTCAAATCGGAAGTTGCTTTCTCTGACTTGTTGTCCAAAGTCCTTGACGAATGTTCAAATATACTATTCTCAAGCGGCCAGCTTCAAAGCTTAATACTCAAACGAGCGGGCAGGTTATCAGACAGTGTGCTGGCCTTGAAATTTGACAATGAATCGACACATCTCGGGACAGGAAGATTTATTGATATTCGTACATCGAGATTCATGCTCGTTTCGTCCCCATCCATCTCTTACTTCTTGAACGACGACGTTGCCAACCACTGCCGGAGGGTTACCAGCTCTGGGAGAAGCTTGCGACATGCAGCAGGGTCAGCCACGAACTCGTGTTGATCCCAGAACTGTGATCTGCGTTAAAAACCGACACAATCCTCGCATCGGAAGACGACTTACCTCAAATGCCGTCTTGAACTCGGGCGGAAGCTCCGGGGGCGACTTCTCGTCGAGGACAGTGCCCGTCACGTCTTTGAAGGCCGCGATGGTCTCCGCCGGAGTCAACGCGTCGCCCGCGAGGTCGATAGCTTTCCCGCCAAAGGTGGCTGGGTCTTCAAATGCCGACGCGACGGTGTACCCGATGTCGTTGACGGCGATGAGTTTGTATTTGAGGTTTGGATTCATTTTGCTGGAGACGAGCTGGAGGTAGGCGGGCCAGTAGAAGTTCTCCATGAATCCGGTGGGGCGGAGGATTGTGTAGGTCGGGAGACTCTTGTTGGATTGGAGGTATCTCTCGACGTGGCGCTTGCCTTCCATGCTAGAATGGGAGTGCAGTCAGTATACGATACGAAGCCATATTGACGAATATAAACGTACGCGGGGAGCGCGTTCTCGTCGGTGCCGCAATAGTCAACACTGGTGTAGACTACGTGCTGGACGCCATGCTTTACAGCAAGGTCAACTAAATCTCTGGCTATAGTTATGGATCAGTACAGGGTCAAAGTGGCCTGTCTAGTATGTGAGTCTAACCTTCTTTCTCTTCTTCTTCGGGTTTGGTCCATGCCTGGAGAGAAAAGTTCTGGATGAGAAACAAGCCATGGATAGGCTCGTTAAAGAGCGTCTCAGGCTTTGCCATATTTGCCCTGGACCAATGAGACGTTTGGCAGAGTAGCCAGAGGGGCCGCCTTGTCGGACGACGCGTCGCGCGTAAGGGCGAGGATCTTGTACTTGGGAGAAGGCGCTGCCTGGTTCAGTGTTACCAGTGCGCGAACTGTCGCTCCGCCTTGCTGTCCGGTGGCGCCGGTGACGAGGATAGTGCGAGTGGTAGAAACCATGATGTCGATGAGAGACATCCAATAACTGACCAGTGCTTTTATACGTCGTTCGTTGATTCAGATTCCAGACTTAGTAAGGAAACAGCCATTCTACCGCGAGACTCTATAGACTGGTGACGTGTTCAGAATTACAAGGTTACCTGCCGACGCATTACGCCTTATCCAATTTTCCAGAGCGCAGTTGTGTTGGATGGGAAAAGTAGCAATTGATATGGATGAGCAATCTTCGGTTGAAGAAACAGGGTGACGTACAAGCAGCGCACGGTGATATCAATCCTCCCTCCATTCTTAGTTTTCTGCTTCATCATCATCACTCACACATGCATTACAATACCGTCTGAGTATTGAATATTGTGACTTGATATGCTGGGTGTTCGATATGATCTAGAAGGGGTTTTGGATATTCAGATTTCGGCTCAGTAAGAGATAATTGAAGCGTCTTACCAAGGCAGACCCAGGCTTGCGAACATTACTGTCAACTGAGCTGGTTGCTGGCTGGTTCAACTTGTTGGAGACTCCGAGAGCGTCGGATGCTGCCGGACGTGATTCCCACGGCTGCCCCGAGTACATAAACGGAAAATTTCGTGGTCCGCTGACCTTGCGTTGACCACAATAACCTCCATCGTCTTCAGATCGTCTTTTCAGTGCTTTCCAAGTTCTCGTGTATGGATTCTTTGTTTTAGCGCCCTCCGCGCCAGTGCCTAGGTGCCACCATCATGTGTTCTGCTGCGTGTTTTCAATTCACTTGCTGTCCTTTTCCCCACCTTGACCGTCTACCGTTGAGCACCTCAGTTATTATCGCCCGTGCTCCCTCTTAACACGATATCGCGCATGCCTCATTTGCTTTCCCTTAGTTCAATCCCATCTTGGCCTCTCCTCATTCTCCGTCGCCACCACGTACTTCCTTCCATCTCGTAACGTTGGCTCGGCTATTACCTTACTTTCTTCTCCCTTATCATACTTCTTCCCTCGTTCCCGGGCGATAACTACGGCGCGCGGACCCACAGGAACTTCCGACCCACGCGTCGTTTTAAACGCCCGGAATATCGACGTTAGGAGCCCTGAATAACCAAACAGCGTTGACGCCATTGTATAGTCAGGCGTTGGCGTTCACGATGGGTTGACATGCCTTCTTAGTGTTTTCAAGTAGTGATATGTTTAGACCAGAAGCAATACGAACGATTTTATTCTTGTTCATTCTGAGCTTCAGTTTTTACGGCTGGCGAAAAAAACTTGCAATGGTGTTTAGAGTGTACGTGTACTGTATTGAGAGGCATATCAAACAGGACATCATGTAAGAAGGAACGACCTGACCGATATTGCCGCATAATAGGCAAGAGTAAGTCAGCTTTCAATGTATGCGATTCATATTGTCGTGCAATGCTGTACAGTATCGAGCGCCTATCCCGCGAGCGTAGGGGAATCCTATGCTTCCACAAAGAAAAAGAGACGAAGCTAGTACTGTGCTTTGCATAATTCCGTGAACACACCAACTTTTTGTCAAAACGATCAACGGGGCCCAGACCGCCCACGGAGCCGCGCCTTCTCGGCACCAAGGTGGCCGCCCATGACTAACGGACCTATACCGCCATCCCATGCACCTCAAAGATCAATGTTGGTTAAAAGGAAGTATATTTAAGGTAGTCTTGGTACATTAGGATACTTGAGAAGGCTGGCGGAAGGAGAGGAATGACGAGGCTGTGGGAGAATACTACCCTCCGCCGATATGCCGCGGACCGGATGTGCGGTCCGATTATTTTTATTTTTTTGAGATGTTCACGGAACCAGGGGCCCTTGGTGGGCATATCCTTGCAATGGTTTTGCCATGAGGTTCCTAATAGCTACAACAAAGCTCGCGGCCGACGGCGGCTTCGCCGCCGTCGCCCGCTCGCATTGTTTCCGCTTGGATTCAGAATGTCATCTCCGGTACCGTTGAACCATTCGCACTTAGTGAAGCAGTTCGACTTGCAACAAAAACATACAGTACCAGAAGTCAACATTCATGTGCGTAGACATTGGAATTAAACATGTATGGGTACACGCTTGGAAGATAGCAGACGAGAAACAGGACAAAAGTATCATATATTACGCAAAGCAGCAGAAGAGGAACGAGGACCACAAAGATTTGGTCTATAGAGCTAGAATCTGTTCCAAGCTCAGTGGCTGACCCATCACTTCTGAGTAAAGCTTCAACGATGCTCGGCGAGCGATGGCCGGCTCGCTTCGCTTCGCCGCCATCACTCGCTCGCATCGTTTCCGCAGAGTCCTTCAAGTTGCTTAGATGCAAGGAATAATATACATTCTACCCATGCATCAGTGTCCGTCATTTCACGCAAAGAATACATCGACAACTCACAGGTGTTCGTCTACACCTGCCTCTTCCTCACTACGAGTGTAGGCTTCGAGCCGAGCAGTGCGGTCTCCGCTCCTGAGCTCTGGGAAGATGTCTTCGTGTGCGCAGCTCGGCTGAAATATTTACTGACTGGGGAAACAAGGACAGTTGTTAGTTGAATGACTGCCACAAGAAGGGCACCTAAGGAGAAAATAAATAATGAGAAAAAAAGAAAACAGCAAGGACGCACTGACCAGTTGTATCGCCTTTTTCACCGACATCAACTTCGTGATTTGCCTGTGCGAACGCTCCGTCAACGCGCTCAGCGGAATGCAGACGAGCAAAGCGAACACCACGCCTACCCCGCGTGGGGCGCTCCGGATGACCTCCTGAAAGGCAAGGAGCCGGACCAGAAAATTTGGAATTGTCTGCAAGAACGTGAACGTGATGGGAAGCGCTATTGTCAAAGATAATTAGCGCGTGGTGGATGCGAATGTAACCGCTCCCCGCACCTGGAAAACCTCCGGGCTCATGTTGTTGTACAGGAAGGATATATGGATGGTCAAGAGCACGAGAACCGCGGTCCATGCCGCGTCGCAGGTACGACCTGTTTGAATAGACGCGCTATACGAGGATTATGTTCGTGCTGGTCTGACCAATGGAGGATCGTTACCCAAGAAAGGTGCTTTGCTATGCAGGATCAAGTTAGTTATAGTGTGAAGTCATGTACACGCAGACGCACAAGGAGTAAAGTAATGTTACGGGTCTCGCTCATCTTCCTCATAAACTGAGGAATGTATTGCGGGTCCTGTAATGCGCGTTGAACATCGAGATAGAGTTGTGGAGGAGAAGAGTCGTCCGAAGAAAGGGCTGCGC